CTTCTTTTTTTGCTTTTCTGCATCTGATTCACATAAAAGCTTAGCACGCTTGAAGTTTTCTTCTTCTTCTTGCTATGTACAAGGTGTCTCTTCTTGGACTATTGAGGCTAAAAGGATTGTGGTTGTGTTTGCAATAGTGGTGGATGAGATGAAGTGAGTTTGGGGCGAGAGAGACAAAAGGCCAAGGATTTTTCTTCTAAGTCAGATGAAAACTCAAGAACATGAATTTTGAGAGGCTTGGAAACAACAATTTTGGTTTTTGTTTTTGGTGGTAGAGGAAGGGCTTGTGTTGGGATTGAGGATGGTTGCAGAGGGTGCGTTGACTAGTGGTAGACTTATTTAGAGGGAAAACAATTTATTTATTATAAATTTTAATTATAATACAATATATAAAATTCAAAATATTTATTGTTAATTATATATATATATATATATATATATATATCATGTACATTATGTAACACCCTAAGATTCTTCTATTTTTTAATAATTATTAATTAAGGGGAATGAGGATGATTTTATTTTATATTATGATTGATGGTTATTATTTTATTTCAATAGATTTAATTATTAAGAAGATAATCATATATTATTAAGAGAATAAAGGAATTTTAGAGAAATAAGGTATTATTATATTATATATTAGAAGAGAAGGGAGAGGAGTTGTTATTATTAATTATTCATTTCACATCCTCTAATGCTCGGGTGCTCTGAAGAATAGACATCAAGAGAACAAGGAGAAAAGTCACCAGAGAGGAGCTAGAAACATAGATCAAATATTTTTGCATCACTCTTGTAGACACCCAATGATAGAAGAGGTTAGGAGGAGTGGAAGATGACTTCTCCCCCGGCGGAGCAGTGCAAGTCGAGGTAAGCCAGGAAACGGGGCCAGCTCCCTTACGGGGAGTGATCAATACAATTGCAGGTGGCTTCGCAGGAGGGGGCGCCAGCAGCTCGGCCCGCAAAAGACACCTGCGCAATTTCAACTGCGTACACCCTACCACCTCAGCTTCACACCAGAGCTCACCGATGATTACTTTCACCGACAACGACTATGCCGGGGTCAATCCCAACCAGGATGATCCCATGGTTATAGCCGTGGAGTTGGCCAATTGGGAGGTTCACAAGACACTGATTTTCGACAAATATAAATTTGTCTTAAATATTCCATCAATAATATAGTTTTTCCTACAAAATTTTTCTCATCAAAAATATAAATTTTTCGACAGATTTAATTTTGTTTTATAAGAAACCATTTTCGATTAATATAACATTTTGTATATATGATTTAAGAGTAAAAAATTTTCAATTTAACGGTTGGATTTACCAAATTCACATTTAATATAAAGTTATTGAGCGGTGTAATACTTAGTAAAATTTAACCCCCTCATATATATATACAAATGTGAATTTGGTAAATCGAACCGTTAGATTGAAAGTTCATATCTCTTAGATTATATATACAAAATTTTATATTAATCCAAGATGATTTGATACTTCATTTTTATAAAACAAAATTGATGTAATATATTCATTTCAAAATACACTAAAATATGAACACTTTGATTACCTTCCAGTTGTTGTTCAATTTTAACAAAATTTGATATACATGTATAAAGTGATATGAACTTTCAATTTAACGGTTGGATTTACAAAATTCACATTTAATATAAAGTTAT